CATAATTCTTTGGGAGTTATTTTCAAGAATCTATTAGGCATAATAGAGAAAAATGCTGTGTTAGGTAAATACGTCAAACCTGGATGATGGAAGTGCAATAAAAATTAAAATTTTAATTTAAAGTCTATTTATAATAAGATTAGGATGATGCCCTATGAATAATTTTGATCTCTAAGATAATGCATTTGGAAAGAGAACGAAGTGCCGTGTCAAGATTTGGTCCAAAAGTTTACTGTTTGTTTCAGTAACAACGGGAACCATGCCTAATGAGAAATTTTAAAACGGCTATGTTAAGCAAGGCATCCTCTTATCATTTTGTTGCTTTAGTCCTGGGGTGTCAAACTGCCGGCCTGCGGGCTGGATGCGTCATCGGGAAACCACACCCACCCCATTGCTGGCAATGGTGAAAAAGCTCCAATACGTTGCGCGATGTCACGTGACATTACAAGTTTGACATGTCTGCTTTAGTCAATTTGTGTACCTGTTATGCTGATTATTTGCATTTAAATTATTATTGCCACCTTCATCCTCACCTGCAGGTCTGGTGTGAGAAAAGAAAAGAAAGAAAAAATAAAACTATAGAATAAGAAAGGAAAATAAATACATAAAGAAATGAATTTGCTCTTCGTTACAGCAAGTATACACAATTTTAGTAACTTACCATATAACAAATAATCTCTTCTTCCTATAAAACATCTATAAACAAATCCTTAAAACTTTGTCATTCAGTTCTGATATGCACAAATCCACTAAAGATTACCAGAGATAACATATCTATTTTAATCTTGATCAGATTAACCAAATTTATAGTCTGTCCTTTTAATTTTAATAATCTTGATCTTTAGCCCTTCAAATAGTATCCCATAAATATAATAATAATGTTCTTCAGAACTTTAACAAATTACTACTTCAAATGTAATATAAGAAAATTACCAATGTCACTCTTTTTTTTAAAGACTTAAGCTATTCACTTGTATATTCAATGATATTGAGAGAAACATGATCAGGAAATACTTATTATTTTTTACTGTAAGTCTCCAGAGGCAGATTAATTGTATGATATGGTACTGAAAGAATTTCCTGATGGCTAACTGAACTTTTATATACAAGTAGTCTTCGACTTAATAACCACAATTGAGCCCAAAATTTCTGTTGCTAAGCAAGATAGTTGTTAAGTGAATTTTGCTCCATTTTACAACCTTTTTCCCCCCAGTTGTTAAATGAGTCAGTGCAGTTGTTAAGTTAGTAACATAGTTGTTAAGTGAATCTGGCTTTCCCATTGACTTTGCTTGTAATCATATGACTCCAGGATCCTGCAACCATTATAAATATGAGTCAGTTGCCAAGCGTCTAGATTTTGATCACTGACCATGAGGATGTAAAAATGGTCATAAGTAGAAAAAATGGTCATAAGTCACTTTTTTCAACACTGTTGTAACTTTGAACAGTCACTAAATGAGATAGTCAAGGACTACCTGTACTATCTTTGAGTGTACTTTGAGTATACACTCCATATAGTCAATGGTGGGATTCAAATATGTGAACAACCGGTTCTCTGCTTCCGGAAGTCCATTCTGGGCTTGGGCAACAAAATATTAGCTACCGGTTCTGCCGGTATGAACCGCCTGAATCCCACTACTGCCTGAATCCCACTACTCACTCTTGGGAGTGAGTCAAATGTCAGATGACTAGAGAAGTGTATTATCTTCCAAAAAGGGGAAAAGGAGAAACCCAGGAATCATAGACTAGTCAGACTTACATTGATTCTAGAACAGATCATGAACAGCTTTATCTGCAAACATAGAAATTATTTTCTCTGGATTTACCAAAACAAATCTTACCAGACTAACTTTACTCCGATCAATTAATTTCTTTAATTTATCATGGAAACACTGTAGACATAATATTATTTCAGCAAGGCATTCAATAAAATCACTGAACAGCATTCTGATTATCAAGCTAGAGAAATGTGGGGTAATAGCATAACAATTAAATAGATTCATAACTACCTGAAAATTGTACTCAGTGTTTATCAAAGCTTCTTCATCAAACTAGATGAGGTATTGAGGGAACAGGACTAAGGTGCGGCCCTGGGCCTTTCAGTATTTTTATTAACAACTTGCAGTAATAAAATTTGTAAATAAAACTTGCAAAATAAGTAAAATTTTATTAGTAACTTGCATATGTAGACCGAATAAATGCTTATTAAATTAGCAGATGATACAGGACTGGAAAGGATAACTCCAAAGAAAATAAAATTCAGAACAAACTTGTTAGGTTAAGGAAATGGGCTGAGAATGAATGAAATTTAACAGAGACAAGTGCCAAAATTCTTCACTTCAAAAAACAAAATATGCAATTATAGAATAGAAAATTATTGGCTTGTTTATTGTACTTGTGAAGCAGTTTTTGGAACAGTAGTTGATCAGAAGCTGAACATGAATTAGCAGTTCATCTGGCTATAAAAAGTCAAAAGCATAACCAAATTATTATAGGTACCGGTAATAGGAAGAAATAGTTCCCCTTGTCTGCATTCCACCTGAAAGTTTCAGACAAACTGAAACAGGTTCAAAGAAAGCCAGCAGAATTTATTAGAAGGCTAGAAATGACATGTGAAGAATAGGAATTGAAAGAACAAGGATGCTTGGCCTTCAGAATAAAAGCTGAGAGGAGACATGATAGACTCCTCAAATATGATATTGCTAGTTCATATTTAGTTTGTAATCACATAAAAGATGATATGTATATAAAAATTCAAGACCTGTTTTCTGTTGTTAATGGAAAATGAACTTAAATTACAGGAGGGGGATTCTGATAGTTAAAAAAATGGTAATAGGAAGAACAGTTTGACAATGCAGTTACTTTTCTTTGCTCAATGTATTCAGAAAGGGACACCTTTTGGGAATGTTTTAATTTGGATTTCTCTGAAAACCCTATTTTCACAGACTTTATTGGTCTGCTGTGAAATCATTGTGAAATTGTGAAACATTTTGGTACACACTTACTTAGGACATCATGCTGGGTTCTGGTGTCTGAGTGCATCTTAAAGCTCATTCTATATTCCCCACAGGCTGTATGTTTTCAAAGACACAATAGGAAAGCTAGTTCATTGTGGGGTTTGTTTTTTTTTTTGAGGGGATTCTAGCAAGAGTTTCTAGGGTTCTCCAGAAGACTAAAAATTACCAATACGATACAAAATTACTAATAAAATAGAATAATATATTTCTGTCATAGGCCTGGAAAGGAGACATTTAGTCATTGAGTTTTCTCCATGCAGGAATCCAAGTTAAAGCATCTCATATAAATCATTGTTTGTGCTGGAACACAACCAATGAAAGGGAGTCTATCCTCCTCTGGGTTATTGGTTCCACTACTAATCTGTTCTTACAATTAACATATTTTTTCTAATATTTAATCAGAATTGGTTTTCCTGTAACTTATCCATTGTTTTGTGTCATGTATTCTGGCATGATAGAGAATAAGCATTGAATTTGAAGGGCAATCTACAAAGCATATGTTTTCATAGAGTGCATGGAAGAAATACGTCCTCAAATTAGACAAAAGAAGCAGTAATGTAGTTATATCCTTTAGCATTCCTGTTGAGTCCTCAGCTTAATGGCAATAAATCACAGAGCATCGAGTAGTGTTAAGAAGCCTTTATTGTTGTTTCTTCAGCTCCGTTTCAGCTCTGAGGCATGCAGGCCTCTCTGCTCCTCTTAAGAACGCTTCCCTGGACCAAATGGCAACATTTGGCGCGCTCCGTGCCTTGCGCATGCGCGCGAAGCTGGCACCAGCCAGTCTGGTCCCGGGCAGCTTGCAACTGCCCGGGACCATTGCAACGTCCCAAGCCTGCCTTTGCAGGCTCAGGACACAACAATTCCAGCTCCATCAAAGTAGATACACCTCTGGATCACAGATGCTACTTCTTGTGGACTAAATCAACATTCTTGTATCATCAGTTTTGTTTAGACAACTGATTTAAGAATAACCAGCTGCCTCTCTAGGTCCTAGTAATTCTCTTTGGGGCCCCTTTCCATTTCTATCCTCCTTTGCAAGAAGAATTTATGACTTTATATGGCATATTAGAAATGAGGGGATATTATTTATTAATAAAGAAGAATATTTAGAGCTCAAGGTTCACATGAGGGGGTCCCTGGTACTCTCTGAGCTTGCTTGTTTTCTTGCAGACGTTTCATTACCAAAACTAAGTAACATCAGCAGTGCTAGTAAGGATGCAGTTTGCTGTCAGTTTTATATTCTGATGGCTTGCCTGTCAGTGTTGGTGTGGGTGGTTTAGAGATACTTTGGTTGGGCTGTTTGCTGTTGGCTTCTTTGGCTGTTTCATGATTGGGGTATGTTTGTTTGATTGTTGGTTTGATGTTAACCTTGAAGTTAATCTATGGTGATCTGAGTGCTGATTGCTGGTGGAGAGGTGCTTGGGTCTTTTGTTCCTTTTTGGGCTGGGTGTCTATTGATGGCTGATTTGTTAAAGTGCCAGGCTTTGGGAAATTCCCTGGCATTTTTGGACTTGGCTTGATCTAGGATGGTCACATTTCCCCAATTGAAACTATGGTTAAATCTGTCCATATCTTGTGAAATTAAAGAATTTTCATCGTGTCTTCTTAACTGCTAGTTGGTGTTCGTGGATGCTTTCTGCCAGTCTTCTGCCTATTTGTCCTACATAGCATAAAAGCATGGCATACAAGCCAACTAAAGCCCTTCAAAACATCTTAAGCAGACGAAAAGAACCAACAACCCCAGAAGAAAAAACACGAGTCATCTACAACATACAATGTAAGGATTACAACAACCACTATGTAGGACAAACAGGCTGAAGACTGGCAGAAGCCAACAGCAAATAGCCCAACCAAAGAATCTCTAAGACCACCCCCACCAACACTGACAGGCAAGCCATCAGAATATAAAGCTGACAGCAAATTGCACTCCTTACCAGTGCTGATGATGTTACCTAGTTTGGGTAATGAAACGTCTGCAAGAAAACAAGCAAGCTCAGAGAGTACCAAGGACCCCTATTATTATTAATGCCACAATGGGAAACAAAATACATTTTGAAACAGAAAACAGCTGTTAGAGGAAGAACAAATAAAGAGAAACAGCCCTTCTTGTAGTAAATCAGGTATTGGGAATATTTTGACAAATACAGACAGAACAGTTATGGAGTTTTGTTGGTTAAGCCTGCTTAGAATGAACAAAGTGGAAGTTCAGTGTTACAGCAAACAGTTAACAAGATATGATGGCATCTGAAATCTAAGAGAAGTTAGGGTTAATGTTCATGGCCATATTTAATACAGAGATCTGGTATTCCTCTGGTTATGATCCACAACATCCTTAAAGGTGCTGAAGCTGGCTGAACTTTCTGGATTTTAGGAATGACTGCTTGGTTCCAGGCAGAGAACACAGGATATGTGTGAAGTTGTTTGCTGCCTTTTTTCCTAATGGCTGGATTGACTGAAGCTAGAATTTATGGCAGTTGTCTCTCTCAAGGCACTTCATTCTTACATTGCTGCTTGCTTTTCTCAGCGGGACATCATCCGTACAAACTCTATATGGAGAAAAGCAAGGATGTCAGGGCATTAGGAGAGAAGAAAGAGTGTATCATTTTTTAAACATTGCTTAAAAATAGGAATGGCTAGTTAGCTATAAATCTTCACTTTCTAATATTCCACCTTATTTTTCCAATACTACAGTATTTCATCACACTCTAGTTTGATCAAGAAACAGATGTATATGCATCAATGGACACCCTCCCATGAAAGAAAGAATGAAAGAAATATAAATACATTGCAAAGAGGCAACAGAGTTTTACAGGAGCAAAATCTGATGTTGCCATTCTTCACTGAGTAAAAAATCTTCACTGAGTAAAGATCTAGAGCCAAGCATTGAGTTCAAATGCTTATCTTCTCCAATTAAAATATGCCTGCCAATAGGAAAAGATAAAATGCTCTACAATAGTTGAGTTTAAAAAGATGCATTGCTAGACTTATAATTTATAGGCATTCTGATTAGAATTTGCTATTTTGAAATAAAACAAAAATCTTAGCTTTCAAACTGTCCCCTTTTGACTTTATTGTCTATTAAACAGAAATCGGTAGAGATAAATACAGTACCTCAAACCCCAGTATATATTTTCTTCTGCCAGCCTATTCAATATATTCCTTCCCAAAACCAAAAACAAGTTCCAAATAGTCTCTCAGCTTCAGTTCAGACATCCTACTCCACTTGTAAAATACTAATTTTCATTCCCAAATAACTTTCCCTGTCATACCTTCAAAGTCCACTAGACCATCCCTGTTCAAATCAACATCCTGCAGGATCTCATCCATCTCTTGGTAGTTCAGCTGTTGCCCTAGGAGCTTATGCATTGCTTCCCGTAGTTCAGCTATGCTGATCTGCCCATCACCATTTGTATCAAACTGGAAGAAGGAAACACACAAACACCTTATTTCACTGTTCATTTAGCTGTCTCTCATACTTCTCCAGTCTGATTTGAACAGAGTATTGTTTTCTGTTCTTAGCTGACTAATGAACAATGGCAATTGGTCTAGTACAGTGATGGTGAACCTTTTAGAGACTGAGTGCCCAAACTGCAACCCAAAACCCACTTATGCATCGTCAGATGCCAGGTGGGTGTGGCTCCCTGGCTTGGTGTGGCCCATTGGGTGGGCATGGCTACGGTGGTAATGGCAGACTGGGTGGGACTAAAAAGTTCAATCAATTCCAACTTTGCAAGATCTTTTTTTTTCCCACGAGAAGTTGAAATTGACTGATTGAACCTTTTTTTTTTTTTTTGCACATGGCGGCAGAGGCCTAAAGTGAAAAGGTTTTATAAAACCCAGCTGAAGGCCTAGGACTGGGGCGACGGCGCGCATCCCCACAGAGAGGGCTCTGAGTGCCGCCTCTGGCACCCGTGCCATAGGTTTGCCACCACTGATCTAGTAGTTAAGGCACTCGGCCAGAAAGCGGGAAATCATGAGTTCAAGTCCCAATTAGCCATCAAAGCCAGCTGGTTGATTTTAGACCAGTCACTCTCTCAGTCCAATCTACCTCATAGAGTTGTTGTTGTGGGGGAAATAGGAGGAGGAAGATGTGTTGGATATGTCAGCCACCTTGCGTTATTTGTAAAAATAATAAAGGCAGGATATAAGTAAGTAAATAGTAGATTAACACAAGACAAGACAAAATATCCTGATGTATATATCCTGCCAATCCAAACGGACTTGCATAAAGCAGATATTTCAAGCAGCTGCACATAATTACATTACAATGTACACTCTTGAAGTTTGCAAAGTCAAAACGAAAATCATGCCTCAAAAAGTATTCATTGCATCTATGGTAGCTGCTGCAATTAAAAAGTATTACTTAAGAAGGATTTAGAGAATTTGGAATAGGCTCAGAATAGGGCCATGAGGATGATTAGGGATTAGAAACTAAATCTACAAAAAAAGATTGAAAGAACCGTGAATGTTACTCTTGAGAACAAACAATGATAACACAATTTAAATTCCTAAAATACATTAATGTGCACAAAAAGGTCAAAACCTGTTTTTTCTCTCATTCCAGAATCATAGACCTGGAAGAATGCATTTAAATTACAGGAAGGGAAACCCTACTCAGTTTGTTAACAAGAAGAGCAGGTTGTGGAATCATTCCGTGAGAGGGTGAATTTCTCTGTGTTGGATGTATTCAGGCAAAAGCTTGATAGCTACAGTATACAGTATGTGAGATAAAAAAAAAAATAGGTTTCTGCAGTTGCAGGATGGTTCCTAATGGCCTGAAAATAACCACTTTGTAATTCTGCTTTCCTAGTTTAAAATGGCACCATAGTCTCCAGTTACTACAATAGATAAATTTCCCTGCCTGCAGACTTGTGATTTATTTTAGATGAAATCGCAAATATAGAGCATCCTTAGAGTTCAGCATTTCATTATTTCCTATACCTAGATGATTCCAGTAAAACAGAGAATACTAAGGAGGATTCTTCTTAATTTCACAAGTACTTCATTAGTTTCTCTATCTGTTTTTTCCAATGCGTTGTTGGTCTTACTAAGAATTATTTTGATACATAAAGAATATGCCCTTATATCAGCTTTATCAAACGAAGGGGGCAAAGTCTGAAGGTAGGGCCTTAGGGTGACCTAGAAGACTGTCAGAAACAAACAGCACTTAAAGTATGGAGGATATACTTCTACCTTATTTATTAGTCAAGGAAGAAAAATGGAAGAAAATCAATACCCCTGAATTTTCCTCAGAGTTCTGCAGAGAAAAACCTGGTGGGTTGAAGGTTTCTTATGCAACAACAATACTTCAAAAAGTTAAAATATAATGGTAAAGTTATTTCTTGCCTAAATATCACATTAGAATCTATGCATATCAAGAGTAAGAGCGTTACTCAAAGATACTTTGCATATTAAGAAAGAACTTAATTAAAACAGTGAAGATTTGCTTCTTTTACACATTGGCCTTAGAGTTATTTTTTTTTAAATAGTGTACAGCTTTAAAATAATCTCATCTATCCTAAAGGAACAAGGTATTTCTTTTTTACTTCTGCTCATAGAACCTCTCTGTTTATGTAAAGCTGGAGGAAAATCTGAGTAACAGGGGGCCTCTGTTTTCAGGAATGAGAATAACCCTCCAAGTCCTTGGTGTCATTTGGCACATCTAGCAATGACTAAATCATCCACTCTTCACTCTGATACTGAACCTAACATGAAAAACTTGGGATATAATTTCTGGTGTCAGTTTCTTACCTTGTGGCTTGATTCTTATTTATTTTTTAAGCTGATGAAACATTGATCATCTTAAAGATACACATGCCAATTGTTTAAATCTTTTGATGATTGTTGTAAAGATACTGCCTAACTTAAAATTGTGAATATCCATTATAAGGGTAAAAAAACCAACAAGGCAGTAAACAACTTAATCAAAATTAAACATCCACAATATATAGTTATCCAGCACTCCTTGCTTACCGTATTTGATCGTGCAATTTGTCACATATGACTTAATTTGAATTCCTGGCCTTTCCCACTCTATGATTCAGTGTAATTTGCTTATTTATGGCTTAGTGTGTTAACTCAACTCATCCAGAATTGTTTTGTAAGCCACAGTTTATGACTGAAACAGGGCAAATATGGTTTATTCAGTAAATCATTATTAACATATTCAACCATAATGTATTGTGGGAAGATAGCCAGCATGCATGTAATACTACCAGCTCTGATCCTTATAACTGTAACTGAATAACTGTAGCTCACCTCTCGGAAAGCATCCCGCAGCTCTTTAACCCCAATCATGTCTGCTGTCTCTGCCAACAGCTTAGGGCCCATCAGTTCTACAAAGTCATCAAAATCCACTTTTCCTCCAGCTGTAGGCATACAAAGGCATTTTCAGAAGAAGCAGGGCAACACAAAGTTAAATATTTTATATTGTGAGCCAAGGCCATCTCACACTGGAGAAACTGAATTTCACCTGTCTAACCACCATGTCCCCCAACAGAATTCCCTCTTATGTGGATTCTGTATATCTATATCTATATCTATATCTATATCTATATCTATATCTATCTATCTATCTATCTATCTATCTATCTATCTATCTATCTATCTATCTATCTATCTGTCTATACAGGAGTAAAATGACTGTTACCAATATAAATAATCAGAATTTGAATCCTGTTAGAAAGTCTACAGTCAGTAGTTTTTTCCTTAGCACAACCATTTGTACGTGCATCTTTAATGTGAGGCTTCTGTCCTCATTTGAAAACAGTTTTGGCCCCTGCTATCCCATTCTATTGTCTATGTTCAATAATCTGAGCCAGTATTTTCAGCTCAGCTGCAACAGCAACATGGGTAGTATAAATGTTTCCAGTGCTTTGAAGCAATCTGTTTGTGCATGGTTCTTTTCTTCATTGATGGGAATTTTTGCCTCAACCCTCCTTTTGAATTCAAGGCAAACCTCTGTTTAAAATGTATCCTCTAAGGAACTTTTGTTTCAAGGCAGTCACTGGAAAAAAAAAGAAGGGGGAGAAAAACCTAAATAGACCCCTGGAGCTTTGTACTCTGCTTGTTCCTGCAGAAAAGACATGAAAAATCATTATTCTTCATTTCACATCTGCTTGCTTTGCCTGGGTTACAGGACTCCTGGGAACACTCACAATGGCCTTGAAAAAGTCAAAACAGCATGGATCGATCTTGGCTGAGTTCACCCATTTCAGCACAGCAGCCAACCACCATGGTTAGAGCTACTGGGAAAAATGGCTTTGTTTGCTGCAAAATGGCTAACATGCTGCCCTTGCAGCATCACTTCACAATCTTTTCAGCAAAATCCAGGGGCAAAGATTTAAAATTTGAAGTTCTATTCATTTGTTTAATTTATATGCTATCTTTCATCTAGGTGCAAGTGTGTACATATTATGCCCATCTGTCATTTTTCTCCATCCTGAAAGTCCTTTGAGGTAGATTGGGCTGAGAGACAGTGATTGGCTCAATATCACCTTATGAGTTTCTTGACTAAGGATGATCTTGAAAATGGGTCTCTCCAGTGCCAGGCCAGCATTTTAATCGCTAGATCACACTGACTCTCAGTTTTGTGCTGTTCTTGTTTTCTCTCCATTAATACCTCCATTAATACCTGTCAGCCTGAGATATTCCTAATCAAGGTAGCAGATAATTTCAAGGATGCTATTCATAACAAGGTGGATGAAAGATTGGGAGGGATCAAGAGAAGAATGTCATTTTTAACGTTTGTACAGTAAAAACAATTCAAGAATGAAAGGCAGTCAAAGGATATTGCTGATTATAATTCCAGCACTCAACGATAAAGAGACGGAGAAAAAGCTCAGAATCCATATTAAATGTAACTGGAAGACATTTCTCAATGTGACATCCATTACTGCAGAATATTCCTCAGGCATTAGGTTGACTTATAGAAGAAGGTACATACTAATTTGTTGAGATAATTCTATGAGTTCCATTTCAGTAGGCATGTAGCCCATGGTTCGCATACATTCTCCCAAGTCCTTATAACTGATGTAGCCATCACGATCTTTGTCAAACTCCCGAAAAGCCTCCTTGAGCTCTGAAAGGAGAAAAGTTGCTATAACAAACTATAGTTAATAGGCAGGTGAACCCCTCTCCCCACATTCTGACCCACAGTTGCAGCCTGCCTGCCAGCCCTTATGCCAGATGACAAGATGCAGTCCTTCTCTTCATATAATTGTATAGTTCTTTCAGAGAGGAATCCTTTTAATTTGAAATATGTATTTTCAATAACTCTGTATTTGTATCTTCTTGCCAATGTAATGGGCTGTGAGAAACTTTGGGAGACAGGAGGAAGAATCACAGCCTTGGCAAAAGACTGATAAGAGAGAACTAAATCTAAAAGAAAGACAGGGGTGGAGGAAGCATCTCAGAAGGGATTCTCCCTAGTTCTCTGGTAATTAAAGGTGTGGGGGGGGGAAGTGCCTTCAGACTTGCAAGGTTTTGCTATATGGTAATAATCTTACAATAAAGGTAGTATTGGTACTCATGGTGTTGGTTTCATACGTGGACCAGCTTGAAGAGCTAACAGCCACTGCATATCTTACCAGTGATTATTTAAAACTGGAAAGTGATTTTCTCTTTCCCATTTTAATAACATTTTATTCTAGACAAGCCTTGTGAGATTGATGAATCTCCCAAAGGGGTGGTATTGATTTCCCTAGTGACACAGCTCAAGGAGGTAGAGCAAAGGGATTTATACCTTTTTATATATTTTTTTCCTTTTAGTATCTAATTAAGCACATGGTCTATGGGGGTCCTATCTTTCTCACATACCATATAAAATTCCTCTGAAAAATATCTGATAGTACGATGTTTCCCAGAAAATAAGACCCAACGGGAAAATAAGCCGTAGCATGATTTTTTGGGATGCTCTTAATATAAGCTCCACCCCAAAAATAAGCCCCAGTTAAGATTGTCAGCCAGACACACGCATTTAGTACCGTATTTCCCTGAATATAAGCCCTAATTGGAAAATAAGCCCTAATGCATTTTTTGGAGCAAAAAAATAATATAAGACCTGGTCTTATTATCAGGGAAACATGGTAGCACTAACTACCAAGCCACCATACCCAGACAGAAGAGTGTGTAGACCAGAGGTAGGCAACCCTGGCTCTTTTATAACTTGTGGACTTCAATACCCAGAATTCCTGAACCAGCCATGCGGACTCAGGAATTCTGGGAATTGAAATCCACAAGTCATAAAAGAGCCAAAGTTGCCTACCCCTGGTGTAGACAAAAGAGTTTCAAAAATAAGAGGTTAATACTTCCAGTCTTTTATCCCATGTGTTCAGCTCTGTCGATACAGGATCCCAATAGCACTTTATTTAAACATATCCAAAACTGTTACACACTAGCTGAGGAATTCTGGGAGTTAAAGTCGACAAGGCATAAAAGGGCCAAGTTTGAAGACCCCCGCCTTATTTCATAGCTAAACTCAAACAGGTATGTCATAGCAAAGAGGAAGCCTCCAGGAAAGAAGATAGAATGCTGTACAATTAGGCCAGGAATGTATTAACGAGGGAGATCAGTAAAAAGAAGTTACTCTGAAAAGCTGAGGAATTAGCTCTCAACAAATGAACTAGCAAACATGTGGAAAACCCTTAAAGTTATCAATGGTTACAGATAACCTCCTTCCCATGCTGAAGGGAATTGACAACTGGCAGATGACCTGAATGTGTTTTACTGTAGGTCTGAGAAGAAACCACCATCAACTATTGCCACCCTCTCTATCTTAAATACAACAGCCAAGTCTCCTGCAACTGACTCCATCTTTCTGGTGTCCCCACCTCTGGTGATCACAGAAAAAGATGTATGAAGTTTATTTCACAGACTAAAGCCTGGAAAAGCACTAAGCCCAGACAAGGTAACTCTTTCTTGTTTGAAAATTTGTGCTGACCAATTGCCCCCATCTTCACCCATATCTTTAATAAATCTCTAGAGATGTGTTATGTTCCTTCTTGCTTCAAACGTTCTACTATAATCCCAATGCCTTAAAAACCCTCCATCAAGGAGCTGAGCGACTACAGACTGGTTGCTCTGATACCCGTAGTAATGAAAACCTTTGAAAGGCTAGTGGTGGCCCACCTGAAAACCATCACAGATCCACTGTTAGATCCATGGCAATTTGCCTACCAAGCAAATAGATTGGCAGATGATGCTGTTAATATAGCACTACGCTACATCTTATAACATCTTGAATCCAAGGACCCATGCAAGGGTCCTTTTTGTAGACCAGGGGTGTCAAACTGCCGGCCCAAGGGCCGGATGCATCATGGGAAACTGCACCCACCTCATTGCCGGCAATGGAAAAAAAGTCACGATACATCGCAACATGTCACATGAGGTTGCAAGTTTGACACCCCTGTTGTAGACTTTAGCTCAGTATTCAACACCATCATACTCAGGTAGCTCTGCCTGACTATACTTGTAAGTGGATCATAAGCTTTCTAACAGATAGGAAGCAGCAGGTGAAGCTAGGCAAAATCACATCAGATACCTGTACAATTAGCACAGGTGCCCCCCAGGGCTGTGTGCTCTCTCCATTATTCTTTTCTCTCTATAGCAACAACTGCATTTCAAAAGATTGGTCTAATTCAAAATGAAGATGAATCTGCATACAGGCAGAAAGTTGAACAACTGGCCCTACCACCTCTTACAATACTAGACAACACAGTATCAACTGTAGAGACCTTCAAGTTTCTAGATTCTGTAATATCTCAGGACTTAAAATGCATGCCTAACATCAAAAATGTCATCAAAAAAGCACAACAAAGAATGTTCTTCCTGCGCCAACTCAGAAAGCTCAGACTGGCCAAGGAGCTACTGATACAGTTCTACAAAGAAATTATTGAGTTTGTCATTTGTACTTCTATAATTGTCTGGTTTGGCACTGCAACCAAACAAGACAGACACAGACTTCAACAGATGGTTAGAACTGCAGAAAAAACAATTGCTATCAGCTGCCTTCCATTGAGGACCTGTATAACGCACGAGTCAGAAAGAAGGCTGTGAAAATACTGTATCTCCAGACCCCTCACATCCTGGATATAAACTGTTTCAACTTCTTCCCTCAAGATGACGCTATAGGGCATTGCACAGCAAAACAACCAAACACAAAGACAGTTTTTTCTCCCATGCTATCATTCTGTTAAATAACTACGTAATTCCCACAACACTGTCTATGCCCTGGGTTGTCAAACCACCCAATAGGGCTGTATTGCTTATTATCCTTCTCATCTGTCCTATACCTATTTCCTTAGATTCTTATGACTATAACTTGTTATATCCCACGATTTATTAACTTTTTTAACATTCTATTATGATTTCTATTGATTGCTTTAGTATCCTATGACTATCACTGAGTGTTGTATCTATAATTTATGATGATTATATTTTATGATTATCACCTGTTGCTTGTATGTACACTGAGAACTTATGCACCAAATTTCTTATGTTTGTCCAATCACACTTGGCCAATAAAGAATTCTATCTATCTATCTAACTAATGAAGATTTACACTTTAGATCTTATGAGACCCCCTTTAGACAGCGATGTGTATTACTTCAGCTGTGAAGCACATAATGAACATTTCTAGCCAAAACAATAATCTTTCCAAGCTTTACAATGGCTCTTAATTCTTGGTATGTTAGAGCAAAAGCTAAACAAGATTGAAGCTGTGAGACAGTCCTCACACCAGAGGGAAAAAGAACCTTTTAATTAAGAATTAAAATGATCATTAATTCATTATCATTAATTAAAGGGTAACGCCACCTCCACTACAGAAATAAAATACAGTACATAAATAATAATAAAATAAAATATGGATACAATTGGATAAAATACAATGTGGGTTTTGCACTCCACATTTACTGAGGGATATTTATTATTTATATAATTTGTGCCACTGATTTAGTCTGCCTGCCAGACTAAAAGTAACCTCAATAAAACGCGCTCATGATCCCAGGCAAAATGGTAAAATGATAAAATCATGCAAAATTAGAACTATGAAACTTTTTACAGCAAAAATGACAAGAATGCACTACCATACGGAATGATGGTGCCTATAGTGGCACCGCCTCCTTCTAACACCAGAGCAGTGAGAGAAGGAGGATGAAGGAGGCCTGGCACAATTTAGTAACCTTTTTTTTTTTTTTTTTCACTTCAGATTGAGTTCTGCAACAACAGTTGAGGGCTGTTCTGAAACTCCTTTGGAAGTGAGAGGCGCATTGAGAAGAAGGTGAAAATACCTTAAATGACACCATGGAATGAATTCAGTCTAAGATTAAAAATTGTTTTCTTTCAGAGCAGGGGAGCTTATCAAAATAAAAAGGGGAACATCATATAATGACTAGTGTCAAGCCCTATGCTGTCCTCAGCGGCCAGCTTATCACCTGTTTCTGGACATGTCTTTGAAGAACTTTCTCAGCTGCCTGCAGCACTCTCGATTTCAGATCAGAGTACAGACTAGCCAAGCTTGAAGAGACTTTCAAAAGAATAGTGAGAAAGTATATTTCATTTTACCTTCAATTTCTTCCGTTCGCAGCTTTCGGTCCTAAGGAGAGAACAAGAGTAAAGGCCAATGAAAAGACAAAACAGACAGAGTTTGCCAACTGACGCTTATTTGAACGGCTTTTATGTCGGACTCCCCCATCCATTTGGAACCTTCAGTTGGGCAAAACAGTGCATCATAAGTCAAGAAGTTTTGAATTAAGGTACCTCCAATGGGCTAATTTAAAGACTGCATCCAGAATCCAGGATCTGTTATTCTGATGTAAGTGAAATTTCAAGGATCTTTCACCTGTTGTATTAGCAAAGTTGTGGCCACTGCAGCATCGCCGCTGTTTGCTGCAGCCATTGTGATTGTTATTTCCAACTGCACTTTTCAAAAACCCATAGGATGCAGGATTCCTTGCCTATTATAGAAGAATGGTTTCTTAAAGTTTCTTATTTATCAGAAATGGCAAAAAATTCGGCTTATCTGAAAGACCATTCACAAGAGAGATATATCTCTGTGTGGAAAAGATGGGTAAATTTTGTACAGAATAAATATGGGATTAGAAAGTATTATTTAGCTTTTGAATAATTTATAGTTTAAAGTGGGTATGGTTGGATTTGTAGTTTCTCTGCATTGGAGTTAAAGTACTTTAAATTTTTTGGATGTAAGTATAGTTGATTGATGTTCATTTAATTTGTATGTTTTTTTTTGTTTCTTTAACCCTGTATTCAGCTCTGGGAAGGAGGGGGGAGGGTTATGGGGTGGGAGGGGGGTATTTTATTGTAAAAAGTTTATAAAATTTTCAATAATAAAAAAAAACCCATAGGATGCATGGGTGCAAGGAAAAATGAGAGGGACATACCCTTTGCATCCAATTGGCTGGCAGCAAGGGCCGACAGGTGATTGGTGATTGATTGCTTTGGAATCAAGGCTGAAATTTAAAATCTCTTAATGGGTGGTGAGGGAAGAATGAGAAGCGATTCAGATGCCTGCTGGTGAAGTAGGACTGGATGGGGTGGGGTCAATGTAGAGGGAGGGCCCCTTGGGGATACACCAGGTGCAATTTTCAATGCAGTTGTTTCCAACAGCAACAACCCAGCAAAGTGGCAGGTAATATGTGGGTCAACCAAGGAGAAGGAGGAGATTTTTTCTGGCACTTTGCTGGGAATTCTGAGGGGAGAAGAAAGAATGCCAATCTATATTATACATGGAAAGAAGGATAACCCAATGTCATGGGTTCTAGTTACTTTTTAAAATGGGTGTTTTCTGGACACTGACACTGAGCAGGTAAAGTTTGGAAATACGTTAAAAGGGTTCACCTAGCTGGAGGATAGTTCAAAAGCTGCTATTAAAAGATCGATCTGCTCATTGTGGGGTCTCAAAATAAGAGATTGTCTTTGCCATGAATTACAAAGTAGCCTCAAGAGCTTTGCTTTCTCTCACAGTCTTAGCATCTAACCCCACTAATTTCACTTTCCTCTTTTATGGCATGGTGTAAATAATACTGATTTATCTTTTGAAGTTATTGTAGGGCATGCAGTAACATAAGGTGCATGAAACAGCTGCATATCAATATATTCTTATTATTAATCTTTCTTGTTTCCTAGCTTTCGACATAAGGGCAATGAAGTCACTGAAGGACACTTTATAGGTGCATGGGCTTTATAATTTGTATGCAGAAAAGATGCTAAGTGGGATTTTCGAGGGAGCAGAAAACTCTGAAGATGAGCTAATTCATAATCGAGCAGTGGCAGACAACCCAGAGGATAAGTGAGGGGAATCATTCCAGCAGGACAAGGGGTCATTGTGGAAAATGGAGATAGGTGGCAGCTATAGTAGAAGCAGAGTACGTACAATCAATGTGATGGCGATGCTCTGGCGCAAGAAGATGCAGGCTGGTCCCACCAAACCATGCAGCATTGAGTAATTCTGCCAAGATGGATACTGTGTGCTATCAGCTATTTCATCCAGCTTGCTGTTAGAAGAGGTCAGGGAGTCAAGAGCTTCTGAGGGTTGCTTATTCTCCTTCACAATAGCCTGCAATTAGGTATGTTTGATTAAAGGCCCTAACCTATCACACCCGAAGGCTCTTGGGAAACTCTAGCAAAGGTAAGAATGTAATGGAAAGAATAGACAGGAAGGAAAAAGGAAAAGCATACAAAAGAAAAACAAAGAATGTCAGAGAAATGTTATCAGCTGAGAAATACTTAACATCCATCAATTCAGGGGCCTTCAAACTTGGCCCTTTTATGACTTGTGGACTTCAAATCCCATAATTCCTCAGCCAGGCACACTGGCTGAGGAATTCTGGGAGTTGAAGTCCACAAGTCATAAAAGGGCCAAGTTTAAGACCCCTGCATCAATTGATATCAGCCAGCTGATAGTACAGTATATTTCGGCCTGCATAACCCTGCAGTGAATCCTTAATGGGAGCCAAAAGCACTGTTTGTAACACCAGCCACAGCAGGGGCCATGTTGAAATACAAGCAGACGTATTTTGCTAATACCATCATCGATACTCATGGCACCTACTCAATACATACATATGAGTTTAGGCAGACATAGAATAGATATTCCATTCTTTCCAAAATGGGATACATACACCAATGCCTCAAGCGCAGAAATATAGATCCTAACAATAACACATTTAGACCACCACAGGTGTGCTCATTTTTCCTAATAATCCCTCTGCTTTTTGTCCTACATATTGTCCCTACAGATTTAGACTGAAACTCAAGGATTTGTGGTTTAATGAGGAGGGCAAATGGATCTTTAACAAGGTTCTCAGCAAACTATGTTTTTTTTCCTAACCAGATATCGTGCATGAGTGTTGCATTCAAACACCTATAATTTCTATCCAGCAATGGATATAGAAGTTAAATAGAAGTAAAACTGATTTTTAAACTATGTAGTAAAATATTCCTTAAAAGTCATTGAAACAGGGTAGTGTAAAGGAATGCCCTAATTCTGAATAAATATTCTTTGCCACATAAGCACACAACTTTCAATTCTTCAGAGTCCCCACCAAATCATCAATTTTAATTTGACAAAAAGGGGATTATGAAATCATATAGAGTGCTTACTTATGCAATTCTTTACTGAAGCAACATAGACTGAGATTAAAAACTGACCTGTTCTTGTGAATTTGGTTACAGAGATCATCTCCCTCATACTTTCAAGATTTTTTTTTTTTTTTAGCTTTGGTTGAATGTCTTCTTCTTTTTATAAAAAAAATTGCAATAGTTACAATCAGAGTGCTTTGACGATTACATAAACATGACTCTTGACAACAGGCAGAAACATAAGCCGATAGATGATGTTACCTAACATGGTAATGAAACGTCTGTAGGAAAACAACCAAGAGAATCTCAAGAATCCAAAAATTCAACCCTGAGCTATATAGATTCTCTACTATTAGAGCTAAATATTTTTTTCAACATACATGTTTTGTTTTCCTCACTGAACAATTCACAACATTCTCTCCCTTCCTTTCTGTCTTCAGTGTCACCCTTTCCTTTATTTGATAGTCTCTAAGCAGTGTACAGAAGTGGCATGCAAATACTGGAATACAGGTTTGCTTGTCTTCCATTCTTCTCACCTAGTCATCAAGAAGGGAGATGACTGACCTTGAGCAAACTGCAAGGATGTGGGAGTGAGCATAAACAATGGGACCAAATTCCAAGAACCAACATTTTCTAGTCCTGGGTTACAACTTTTCCGTTCCCTTCCTTTCACTGGATGTGAGAAATAGATCTGGCTGCTAAACTAAGGATTGAAACAGGGAGAAAGGAAAGGGCCATTTTCAGCCTCCTGAATTATTATTCTTTAAAACATTCCAACAATTTGGAGCATTTGTACCTAGAGCTAAAGGATCCTGAGGTGACGCCTCAAAGCTCGTAAGTCTGAGATAGGGCAAAGCAAAGAGTTTTTCCACAAGCACTCACCAAATGGGGACATTTTGCCATATTTTCTAAACAAAAATTCAGGTCTAAAATCGGGACATTGATGGACAAACACAGCAAAACAAGGAAAGTAGACAAACGTGCTGAAACAGCCACATGCAAGGAGACAGAAATAAAAAATGGGAAAGCAATAGGATGAAGAGGGCCCCCCCACCCTTCCAGCTTTTTCTCCCTACCTTGGAGAGATGCTTGCCTAGGGTTTTGGTGCAGTTGCCCATGGCTTCTAAGGCCCCCCCATCCCCACAGAGCATTGGAATTGGGCTGGAGGCAGCTGGCGCTGATGGCAGTGGGTTTTTTATAGTAACAAGTGATTCTCTTCTAGGAGGTTTAGTCTGTTTGAGGATTTTCAGGGTTTTTATTGTTGAATATATCTAGAATATTAAGGGAAAGTAAATGGAGGGGGAAAGGCGTAGAGTAGTACCATAATCCTCGGGATTATGCAAAACTCTATAATAGATGGTGCTGAAGCAGAGAATGGAGGGCAAACAGGCATCTCTTCCTCTGAGCACTGCAGTATATCAGGAAGGAAAACATTATCCATGGTCTGTTCCTCTTTCCTGCTTCCAAAAACTCCATCTCAGAGGCCTGCAAATGGATAGTCCCTGGCTCATAAACTGACCTTCCTGTCTCTTAGAGTATATGTGGACATAATCTCCTCTATGACAATTAACTATATTTTGAAATCTTTGCACAAGGATGGGCTGCTTCCATTGAGTATAGATGCTGTAGCCTTACCAGCATCATTGGGCGTACAAGGTAGCACAGACATTATCAAGACTGTCAGTCAAATGTATCAACTGGCCACAAGATCTGAATGAGCTAATAGAATCCACTGTAATTTAGACACTCAAGGCCATTTTCACTAGAGCTGAACAGTGATTCTTAACATCTGTTATAAATAACACTAATTCTGGACAGAAATTGGGAGAGAGGCATTGCAAATGGAAAAACAATCTCTTGTCTAAACAATTCCCTAGTGAGAAATAAAACTACAATCATAGCATTTATGAAAATTGGTACAAGTCAAGGGCTTATATAGAAAGCACATTTGGGTCATACAATCTGATCACAAAAGCGAGTGAATCACAAAAGTAT